GCGCCTCTCCCCGGGGAGCCTGCCTCGAGTCTGCGCCCAGAGCCCAGACATCTCCTCTCCTGACCGCCCTGCAGAGCCGGGAGGCGGAGGGAGGCTGAGGCTCTCCTCCAGCAACAGGAGTCCCAGCCCCTTTCCGTGCTCCGAGTGCGAACACCCTCTCCCACTTCCCCCACAGCCCTCTTGCAATTGACTCCTGGTGCTGATGACAGCCCTGGGAAATGTTAAAATAAGATGTGGTGGCTCTGGAAGGCATGAGTCAGGGTTGGGCAGCAGCCAAAGCTGCCACCAGTCTCCCTTCCCCAGCTGCCGGCGGACTCTGGACAGGGAGCCGGCAGCCCCAGGAAGCATTCGTGGTGGAGACCCAGAGGTGGCTGCCTCACTTCCCTCCCAAGCTTAGGGTCCTCTGTGCCCCTGCGTCCCAGGTGGGGCAAAAGCAGCTGCCATTGGCTGGCTGGAGCCCCAGCCCCGGGCCTACAGAGGGTCCCTCTTTTCTTCACCTCTAGCAAATCACCTTCTCCCCTCTCTTCCTCTGGTTCCCTGCCAGCTCCCGGTCCCCTGGAATGCTGGTTCCAATCTGGCTTCCAAATCTCCTTTCAGCCAGACACCGGCCCTCACATCACCTCCCCTCCTGCTCGGCTGCCCTCATTCTTTGGATCCCTAGGCTGACACTCCCGCCGGCCCTTCACCTTCCCTTACTGATCCCAGAACGAGGGACGGAGCGACCACCTCCACGCTACAAATCCAGCCCCGTGTCCTGCAGATGCAGCGGTCCTGGCTACAGGTTTGGGGGAGTCCAGCGGGGAGGCCCCTGGGCCAGCAGAGCCCCCCAGAGATGCCGCCCCCCCGCCCCCGAGGCACTGGCCGGTGCCAGCATGTGGCCCGAGCCCCGCTTGTCCAGACCCGGGGCTCCTCACACCGCCTTCTCAGGGGCAGACGCACACCGCCCACGTCCAGGGGGGGTGACTCAGGCTGTACTTGGGCCCGGGCTCCGAGCCCAGCATCGCCCCCACCCCCTCCAAGAAGAGAAGGGTGAAGAGACCAGGCTCTTGGCCTCCAGAGCCTTGCCGCAAACCCCGGACCCAAGCGCGGCTTCCCATCTACGAAGCGGAGGAAGGAACGCCCGCCTGGCGAGACCGTTGGCAACACTGGGTGCCATATTCACGCGACGCGTTCAGCAGAGTCTGGTGAGTTCTCACTCGACAAGCAGCATTTCTTGCTGTGGTTATGCCAACGTATTGATTTTTTAAAATAGTTACTCCAGGGACCAGCAGGATGAGTCCCCACCTCAGGTGACCTCCTTCCTGGCATCAGGGTCCCATGGAAGCCAAATCAGTAACTGGGCACCAAATGAACACACAAACAGATCAAGGGAAGGGGGGGGGCGTGTGAGGGAAATTTTCTCTCTGAAAAGGCCCCGCAGCCTCCACTAGGGCTCCACCACAGTTCCTCTCCATCAGGAACCTACCAGCATCCCCCACTCCCAGGCCCTGTCCTCTGACCTGGGTTTGTTCAGAGCCACGCAGCTTATTTCCTGTGCACCCGGGATCCCCCTTGTGACGACGCCTTCTCTGTCTAGACGCGTGTCACCGACTAAAGCCAGAGTAGGCCCCTGCTCCCTGGGCCTCTGAGATGCCGTTTCTCTTCCCATTATGAGTTGGCTTCAGAAAACCAGCCCTCAGTATTCAGAAGCTTCACCGCTTTTGCAGCCCACGGCCCGGCTGTCGGGGTGCAGGCGTGTGCCGCTTGCCACGCACAGGGTGTGACGGTTACGAAGGGCTTCACCCCACGCACTGCCTCGGCCCCGGTTTATTATGACCCAGTCTTCCCGCTCTGCACTGTAAGTGCAGACCATCCGGCACGCGGGCTCATGGTTCTGTTCCATTGCAGGGAAAAGCAAGTCGAGAGAAGCAGCCAGGAAGGACTACTGCATGAAGGCAGACACCCCTTTGGTTCACAGGGGCCGGGACCACGGGTCAGCCTGGCTCCTCTCCAGACCCTGCCTGAGGGCCCCCCGCCCAGCAGAAGCAATGGTGACACTGCCTCTGACCCCTTCCCGCGGCCCAGCTGGGTGTCGGGAATGGAGACCCGGCAGCTGGCTGGGGCTCTGGCCCCTTTGATTCTGCAACTGAGAAACGGGCAGGTGGTGGGGGGAGAAGGAAGGCAGGGCCAAGCGCTTTATCCAAGCAGGCCTCTCTCCATCCCTCCCTCCGCACCGCCCCCCCCCCCACCCCTCGCCCTCTGTCTCGTCCATGTCTCTGCGCTTCTGCCTTCTCACCGCCTTCTGTTTTCCTGTCCATGGCCCTCACTTCCCGTCTCAATAATGATCTTTCCGTTTCTTTCAGCGGGGAAGGAATTTCCTAGATACCTTTCCTCTCTCCTTCCTGTTTCTGTTTCTCTTCCTCTCTCCTCTTCATTTTTCTTCCTTCATTCCTAACTCTGCTTCATTCTCTTGCTTCCCACCCCCCCATCTGTTCTTCTCTTCTTTTCCCTGCCAAAGGAAAATACTAAAACGGAAGAAGACAACCACAAGCCTCCCGTCCATGTCACACACCCTGCCCCCCAAACACACAGAGCCCGGGATCCCACCAGACGGGCAAGCTGGTAGTTCCACATGCCGTCCTCAGAGGCGTCACCGACAAAACCACTAGCCTTCTCCGTGTCAAGCCCCGGGTGGACCCTCAGACAAGCACATCCTGACCGGGGACAGCCCAGAAATTGCAACTCAGAAATGACCGGACTCAGAAATGACGGCCCCCCGCGGAGCCTCAGTGACCCAACACCTATCCCAGCCTTGGCACCTGCTTGGCACCCACGCCCCCTCCTGCCCCACCAGGCTCCTCCCCTGCCCTTCACTTTGCTTATCTTCGCACCAGAAGATGAGAGCAAGGGCACACCCAGCCTCATCAGGCTTTCCCAATTACTTTTGCCTGAAGCCCCATGAGTAGGAGCCTGCCCACAGCCTAAGACGGCTCAGAAGAGGAAGAAAACAAGGGGAACCTACACTTTGGGTGGTTCCCAGAAATACGATATGGAAGAGGTCTGACCCCTGGGAAGGCCAGAGACTGGACAGGAGACACCAGTACTGCCTTATGAACTTATCACGTTTGAACTCACTGCATTTCCTTCAAGCACTCATTCACCTGGGCCCTGCCTGGGTGAGGGGTGCCCGCAGCCCAAGACCCCCAGAAGCCTGACCAAGCAGGATAGCTCCACCCACCGCTCTCACGGGCATCTCTGACTCAACCTGCTTGAATCCAGACTCTTTATCTCCCTCCCCACACTCACCCCTCACCGCCATCTGCCACCTCGGTCAACGGTACCACTATCCGCCCACAGTCACTCAGAGAGCCGGGGCTCACCCTGGATCCTCCCCCTGCCGTGTTTTCCAAACTTATTGGTCACCGAGTCCAGTTCACGTGTAAAATTTCCCTCTCCTCTCCTGTCCCCTTCACCTGGGTTCAGGACCTCATCTTCGCTCACCTGGACTTCTGCAAAAGCCCTTCTTATTCTCTCTTCCCCAGTCTCTCATTCCACCACTGCCAGGGAAGGGCTTCCGAAATGAACCAAACAAGTCGTCCTGCTTCAACAGCTTCCACTGGCTCCTTACTGCCTAGAGTCATGATGTCCAAACTACTTTGACTGCTGTGTCTAATCAAACAGATGCTGGTATCCATCCCTAAGGTGTATATTTTTATTTGTGTCTGTGCACTTACATGTGCCATCATCCCCCGCCAGTATCTAAAAGACCACAAACCTTTAGGGAAAGAATATTACTGACATCAGGAGATTTGAATCTATGTTGCCAATTACCTTGGTAATTTTGACTATTTCTGGTCTGGCTTCCACTGGTTACAATTGGATTGTTACCACTTTTAACTCAGGATGGAAAGAGGACAAGGGGCCCTTTGAGAGCAGGCTGGGGTGGGGGAGGGAGCAACAGCCTTGCCAAGTTCTTGCTGTCCCGCTTGCGCTTGGGTGACCCACCCTCTCTCCAGCCCCCAGTGTCTTTCCAGGAAACTTGTTGAGCCCTTGTCCATTGTGTGAGGGTCAGCTAAAGTCAGATAAGAGCACCCATAAATCCACTGCAGGAACAGATGTAAATATGTTACAATGTGCTAACAGGGAGGAGGCAAGGAGCCCCTGTCGATTTCATGGAACCCCTCACCCCATTTACCTCCGACCCTCCCTGACGGAGGCAACATGCACGGCATAGGGGCTAAGGGCAGGCACCAGGGTCAACCCATACAGTAAATATTCGAGAAGCTCAAATTTTTTTTTTTTTTAAAAAACGCTTATAAATAGAGGCTTCGATTTTTTTCCTCCTCTCCCAGTGGATCATCTTGCATAATCCCAGGGCTCAAAAACCCTAGTTTGAGAACTTCTAGTGTATACAAAAGGTCTGCGTCCAAATTCCTCATTTTGTGTAAAGGTCCCGCCAAAGAAGATGTCTTGTAACTTTCTCATAATCGGGGCTATGGAGGATTTATGTTCCCAGCACGAGGCTGGCGTGGAGCAGGTGCTCAGTAAATATTTGTGGAATTAATAGCTGGTTCCCCAAACACATACAGCCTCCTCTCTGGGCTGTGAATGTTCTTTTCCCCCTTAGAGCCCGGACTCTTTCACTTAGCAAGTCCTTGTTCAGCCTCATAAGCTCAACTCAAATGTTACCTCCTCTGGGGAGGCTGCCCAGACCTCGGGCTCTGTTTGTTCTTTCAGTACAGTATCTTCCTGCAGATCAGAGGGCGAGGTCTGGACCAGGTCACCCCCACCCACCCAATCACTCGCCACCCACCTCTCCACCCCCCTCTACCCTGGTCAAGAGATGTGGAGGCAGGGAAGGCACTTCATCTGAGTGTCCCCAGTGCCCAGCACACTGTAGGTTCTCAGTCAATGTCTGATGAATCAGAGATTCACAGAGCCAGGAATGAGGTCAAGGGATGGTCCAGGCCAGAGACTTCCAGACTCAAGAACTTTGGTTCAGGGCAACAGGCAGGGAGAAGATGAGGGCCAAGGGAAATGGCGTGGGGAACATCCAGGACCATGTCTGCATGGTGAACCTCATGAAGTCTGCTCACTGATGGCATTCCATGCGAGACACGAAGCCTACTTGGAGAAGTAGGGACCCCGGGCGAGGGAGTGAGCACTGGAGGCACCGTGGCGGCACCTGCAACCCCACGGAGGCCAGGGAGCCTCAAGGAGCCAAGCAACCTCTCCCCCAAGCATCGCTCTGCGGCCAAAAGCACTCAGTCGAGGGAGAGGCACCAGCACCATCATTAAATGATGGCGTGGGGGACCTGCCAAAGCCCGGACAAAGGCAATCTAAAAGCATTCCTGCTTCCAACTGGGCCAACCCAACGAACTCACTTGTTAATGGACCCCCATCAACACCAGCAGCCACAAAGAAGCCTCAGCCACCCCCAACCCCTCCCCCAGGGGGCCCTTCTGGTTCTGCGCCAGCATCCTGCACCAGCTTGGGTCCCAGGCCAGCCCGCCCGGTATGGGCTGTGGGCTGATAGGCCAGTCACCTCCGTTCTGCAGCCATCATGGGAACCGGAAGACGGAGCCTGCAAGGCTCTTAGGACGACAGCGACCACGGTACCCACTGCAGGTAGCACAAGGCAAAACGCGAAGTGCAAAGCCAGAGAGAACACGTCTCCTCCTTCTCTCCATCCTCCCTGGCCCTGTGGACCAAGCAGTGATTGAGGCTTTCTCCATCTTTCACCTCAACTACTACGACCAATTCTTCCCCACCTCCCTCCTCTGCCCTGTGCCGCTGCCAGAATCACCTTCCCCTGTGGCAGGAGTTGTGTTTTCAGCTACTTTTACCCAAGCAGCGTTTAAGCGCCTTTCGCGTGCACGTGCCAAACTGGGGCTGCAGGTATAAAGATACATGCGGCCCCTCCTAGGAAGTGCTGCGCAGGGTCCCTAAGTACTTAAGGCTGTTGTACAAGGTCACTAAGCTGGGACTCGAACTGGTCACCACCCCAACTCCATCGCCCCTCGCTTGCCCCCCCTTCCCTCCCAGCCCACCTTCAGCACAAGGACTAGCAGCAGAAGTCCCGGCATAAAAAAGGCTGTCCAGGGGCGATGACAGAAACAGGCAGAGGATAGGACTCAAACATCTCCAACCATCCGGCTCAATGGCTTTGGGGGAGGAAGTGCCTTTTGATAGGGCAGGAGGGTCACTTCCCTGCTCAATATTTCCCTTTAGGTGGCAGTGTGAGCAAGCTCAGAGCCTCCCCCTGCCCAGGAGGGCCTCCCCCCTGCCCAGGAGGGCCTCCTCCCCCAGCAGGCCTACCTCAGGAGAAACCAGCCCAGAACCCCAGACAAACAGCCAGCCAGTACTGGTCCAGCCTAGACTTGAAGGCCAAAAGCAAGAGCCAGCACAGCCCCAAGCCTCCGGCCTGAGCCCACCAGTCCCAAGCTGCGAGAAAAAAAAGCCCACTCCCAATGCGCGATGGCCACATTGCCTACCCCCTCCCCCAGACATCATCTCACCCGGATGCAGGACGCTTGGTGTAGCTGACGTGGTACAAGTTACGTTGGGGCAAAAAAAAGCCAGAGCCAAATAGGAGCAGACAAGTGAATTTGCTGCAATAAATGTAATCTAGGTCAGGGATCAAAACTCCTGTCCACAGAGGACACGAGCTGCCAGGACTTAGCTGTTCTGTGTGTATAATCCTCAAGGACACAGGGCAACTCTAGAGGAAAGAGGAAGAACACAGAGAAGAAAAAGACCTGGGAGCTGCCGCTGTGTTCCTTTCCTGGCGCGACAGTGACAAATGAGGTGGCCTAATCGATAGAGACCTAGGGTTACATAGTTCTGGAGGCTGGAGGTCTGAAATTAAGATGCTGGCAGGGCCAGGCTCCCTCTGAAGCCTCTAGGGGAGGATCCTTCCTTGACTCCTCCAGCTTCCGGTGGCCCCAGGTGTTCCTCCACTTGTGGCTGCACCTCCCCATCTCTGCCCACCCCCCCATATCAGTCTTCCCCCAATCCCTCCGTCTTCACATCTTCTATCCTCCGTGCATGTCCATCCCTGTCTCTTCTAATGAATCGTGTTGGATTCAAGGCCCATCCTTCTCCAACAGGACCTAATCTTAACTAACAACATCTACCTACGTGGACCCTGCTTCCCAATAAGGTCGCATTCTGAGCATGCGGGTGAACATGAATTGCTAAAGGACACTATCCCACCCAGCAAAAAGCTATCCTGCCCGGTTGTCAACAAAAGGCAGAAGAAGAAAGTACCATGTGAAGGGGTTTGGGACGGGTCAGTTCCAGGTGGACGTCCTAGTGGCCCCGGCCAAGTCACTCCGCTTCTCTGAGCCTCAGTTCTCTGGTCAACTGCACAAGGTCGTTTTGAAGGTCACATAAGAAAAAGCTTGGTTACTGCAAAGCTCTGTACCGGGAAACACGGGTGATGTTTCCCTCAACAATGCCAGGTAAGACACCACCGATACTCTGCCTGCCTCCTTTCTAGGTCCACGGTTCCTACATTCCAGAATACCCTCTGCAACTGTGGGACCAATCTCGCATGAGCCACGAGCCGGCTCCCTGGGTGAACTGGGAGCGCCTGCCCTGATCACACGAACGCGCATTGGCCAACGTACCTCTGCACAAAGTCAAAGCTGGATCATGTTGTGATTCAGGGCTTCTAGACGGCACCCTTAAGCAGCTGGGCCACAGGGAATCGGGGGTGTTGTCCTGTGAAGCCTCCGCCTGGTTCACAGAGGCAGTGAGGTGCAGAACGAGCCCAGAGAAGGAGCCCAGCACAGCGTGAACAAAGCCCGGCGAAGCTCTCAGAACCGAGAGGGGGCGCAGCTGCGGGACAGTCCAGCCCTTCCCCCAGCGGGCGGAGGGATCTACATCCGGGTCCTTGAAATTCACAAGGCCTTTACTCAAGCTAGTCACTTACCTCGCCTGCCTGCGCTCAGGGGTGGGCGGAGCCTCCCGACCCACGTTGTTCCCCCAAGTTCCCCACCCGCGTTGCTCCCCCGTGTTCCCAGCCACCTTGCGGGGCAGACCGTGAAGAGACTCAAAAGGGGTAAGGGTCCCTCCCTCACCCACACAACTGGCAGAAGATGCGGCTGGAACGTGAGTTACCAACACGTACTGTTCATGAAGCTTTAAAGAATGAACGACGTGCACAGAATACAGGGCCCACGGTAATCAAAAAAACACATTCTAAGAGTGACGATTCATCAACCCACAACTGAAATCATCCTCATTTTCCTTCACCGGCAGTATTTCCATGGCACCTACTGTGTGCCGCGTCCTCCCGTAAGCACTTTCTCGACGTTAAGTCACTTAACCCTCACAGCCGCCCCAGAAGGTGGGGCTTATTTATTGCCACCCACTTCAGAGATTTGGAAAGTGAGACAGAGAGGGGTTAAATAACGTGCCGAAGGTGACATAGCTGGAAAGTGACAGAGCCATTAAAGTTAAGATGTAACGCCCACAAGGGGCTCCTGGGTGGCTCAGTCGGTTAAGCTTCCAGCTTCGGCTCAGGTCATGATGTCCCGGTTTGGGGGTTCAAGCCCCAGGTCGGGCTCTGTGCTGACAGCTAGGAGCTTGGAGCCCTCCTTGGATTCTGTGTCTCCCTTTCTCTCTGCTCCTCCCCTGCTCACTCGCTGTCTCTCTCTCTCTCTCTCTCCTTCAAAAATAAACAAACATTCAACAAAGAAAAGATTTTAAAAAGATGTAACACCATGCATGGTGATTATTCCGTGTACAAGCTGGGAATACAAATGTAGTAAAGTTTTCATCTATACAATTTAATTTCTAACCATGCTCTTAAAAAAAAAAAAATCATGCAAGTTCTATATGTTCATGGTCTCAGACGCATAGCAGTTAGGACGAAAGGCAATGTCGCCCACCCCATCAGCCTCCCTATTTCTTTCAACCACAAGCAACTCCAGGGTAAAGTTCAGAGCATCTTCTAGAGACACCTGAAAAGAAAGGCTGGACTCGGCAATAATGGGAAATTCAGTCTTTGCCTAATTTGTGGGGAGAAGGCCGAATGGCAAGGTATTTTTCTGAGACCAATTTCAAATACATGGGCAATGTGGAAACTGTCCCCAGGGACGGCCCAGAGTTCTGGGGCAACGGGGGCGTGAGTGGCTTTTCAAGGGCCCTGGAGAACTGCCGAGGCCCTTGCAGACTCTCTCCACGGCCCATGCAGGACCCAACCATGCATGAAAAAGTGGAAAAGGCCCAGGTGTCCTAGGTGACACAAGCCTGGGGCACAGCCCTCTCTGGGCCTCAGTTTCCCCCTTTGTAAAGATTTTTTAATGTTTGAGAGCAAAACAGAGCACAAGCGCAGGAAGGGCAGAGAGCGAGGAAGACACAGAACCTGAAGCAGGTCCAGGCTCTGAGCTGTAGCACAGGGCCTGATGCGGGGCTTGAACCTGTGAACTGTGAGATCATGACCTGGGCCGAAGTTGGACACTTCTGACTGAGCCACCCAGGCACCCCTCCCTCTTTATAAAACGGAGGTAACGGAAGCACCCACATCCTAGGGTGGCTCCAAGGTCTGAATAAGGTAATGCAATTTCTTTACACGGACATAAAAGCCTGGCACACAGGAACACGTTACATGTTAGCGATGTTTTACTTCCGCAGCTTTATTGAACCAAACGTGACCTGTTGTTCTGTCAGATACTCCTGTCTGCCCCCACTCCCTACCCTCAAGCCTGACGGGGATTGATCCCAGCAAGGACCCCAAGACAAGGCAGCTCCCACCCGAACAGATCAGCCACAGTTAGGGATTCTCGATGTCCCCGGTTCCTCTTTGGTGCAGACATGTGAGGCTTCATTCCACAGCGTTGGGGCCTAAACCATGTCTGGGAGAAGGGTTGGTTAGCCGTGAAAATCCTCTCCCAAAAGTTAGCGAATCCACAGAGAGCCACACTTGCACACCTCACGGTGAGCCAAGGCGTCCCTTCTGTCCCCACAGACACACACTGCCTCCCCCATCCGCCTCATTTCAGAGCCACTTGGCTTGGATGCTATGGGCCGTTGCTGGCACATACCCACCGTCTGCGTCCTTGTCCACAGAACTTCCCGGGAGAGGTCCCAACAGAGGGTCTGTCGCTGAAACCGAGCTCAAATTACTTGGGCTCAGAGGAAAGAACCATAGGCTCTGCTGGCTGGAAGGAACCCCAGAGGTTCATCGATGGCAAGCTCCAGTCTCTAAATTCAGCTCACTCCAGAAATAACAGCCTCTACCCACTCCCAAGCGTGGGAAGAGTTCGGGAACAGCATTTCTGAAACTTCAAGGTACATACGAATCTCCCAGGGATCTTGTCATACAGATCCTGAGTCCATAGGTCTGTCGGGGCA